GAAATTTTAATACATATATTTAATGAGTAATAATATATATTTTATTAATAATAAATGTTTCAATCAATCATCATTGTCATCATCGTCCTTAATATTATCACTATTTCTTGAGGATTCTGAATCGTTTCTTCTCCATTGCCCTTTTCTTCTTCTGATGTATCAATATCAATCTCAACCTTTGTAACACTATCTACATGTAGTTGAAGTGATTGGTATGCAATTAAATCTATAACCAATGAAATGCCTTGCATTGTGAGGGGGAGGGTCATCATCTTGAAAAATATCATTAATCTTTGTTGAAGATGAGGCAGATGAGGTGTCAATTAGATGTCTAGATTTTATTTTACATGCTGCAAACCATCCTTGGATAGTTCTATTCATGGCCGGATATGAAGTGTAATAAACTTGTTGTGCTTGACTAGCAAGGCAAAATGACTCTCTCATTGAAAGTTTGAACCTTGGATTGACATCAACAATTTCGTGTTCAACATCCACGCGTATTCCCCATCTCGTGTGTTACCAATCACAATTGAACAAGATTGTGGTCGCCCGTTGACCTGAGTGTCCATAATACAATAACTCGATTACCTCTTTCAAGGAACCATAATATTCAATTTCATCTTAAGAATTAATGGTCGTTTCTTTAACATAAACACCACAGTTATATGTCTTTCTAGTAATAGTATACTTTTCAGTTAAAAATCTAAAGCCGTTCACATAGAACCATTATAAACATTCACTTGAAAGGTCAGGCCAACTGCAAGATGGATAAGTTGTTCGCTGATTTCATATTGTCCACCAAGTGTTGTATCTATGATTTTGATGATTACAAAACACATTTGAGTGACTAATTAGTTTATTTAAGTGTATAGTTAAGTTACTAAAAGATTGAAAGTAAATCTGGACTGCACTTAAAAATGGACCAAAAAGGCTTGAGTATGTGCAGAGAGCCGGCTTTACGGGTAAAGATTTAAAGGTCCGTTGTTTGGTGAGCGTGGAGAAAAGACGCAGAGCCGGCTCTAACTTTGCAGCCGGCTGTAAGGGTGTATTTAATGCACAACGGTCGACTTATTTTGAAGAATAATTAATATTGTTAAAGTCAGAATACTAAAGCCGGCTCTAGGCTTTGCAGCTGGCTGTGGAAGAAAACATAATGTGCAGGAAACCCGCAAAGTCGACTTTGCGTATTGGAGCCGACTCTACAGAGAAAATAGAATGTGCAGAATCTCGTAAAGCTGGCGGCAGAAATAGTGAGCCGGCTGTGTAGAGCTGGCGGCAGAAATAGTGAGCCGGCTGTGTAGAGCTGGCTCTATGAAGTTAAGTCGGCTCTCCTGACAATCTTGGAACTCGAGCTTTACGTCTTGTAGAGCATTTAATGATCCCCAACGGCTAGAAACAACTATTTTCAAGTAAGGGGCTATAAATATGGTTGGTAGAAGATCTAAAGGAAGTTTAGAGAGAATTGTATTGAATATCTTTACCTACCTACATGAGCTTTAACTTGAGTTTTTGATCTTTGAGAGATCTTTACTTGTAATCCTTTTCTTGTTCTATTTGTGAGTGATCTTGGGGGTGTGATTAATCCTTCAAGAGTGATTTGTAGAGAGGATTTTTGGGGTTTAAGTGTAAAGGGGTGAGATTTGAGAGAAACACCCTTCTTCTTGTAAAAGGATTGAGTGGCTCCTTTAAGCCACCCTT